AAGTAGTCATTAACAATAACAATAGTAATGTTTAGTTGTTGACAATGATTTTACTGTGTGATATTGCATGCATCATCAGTTTTGTCTGATTTGAGCTCTGATCGGATGTGTTGCTTACAGAAATAGTGTGCTAGCCAATCAAAACAAGGGCTTAAAAGAGCAGATGAAGACACTGTTGGATAAAGGTCACCATGATGATGAGCTTATTCAAGCTTTAATGGTAGTGAACATTGCTGTTTTGCCCACAAATGCTTTGATTTAATACCTTTCAAAGATGTTACCATGTACAATGGTATAATTAAGAAATTAAGTTACATTTTCTTTGAGTACATGTATATGTATGCATTCAAAATACAATTTTTTTCCATTAAAAACTGAGTAGAACACTTTCATTGAACAAGTAATGTAGTGTACAACCCTAGAAATCACTAAAGTATTTGGACAAAAAATTAATAGAAAGCAATTTGTACAAATAGTGTACACAACTGTATTTATATCATTAGAACTCACGTAACTAAATATTGAACTATACCACAGAAACAACAGAGTCACCTACAGCAATTATTGGAGCAGACTGCTAATCAGCAAAAGGAAACCTCTCAGAAGTCACAGAACGAAATCAAACAAATGTCCATGAAAACCCAGCAGGACAGCAATGTGGTGGAACAACTCAAAGCCATTGTAGCTGAAAAAGAGGCCAAGGTTCACAGGCTGGAAGATGAGATACAGCAACTAAAGCTCAATGTAAGTTATAAGGGAGGAGAAAAAACAGCATTTAATGCCAAACTGACAGGAATGAGTACTTAAATGTGAAGAAAAGAATCTTTCTAATGTTCACAAATACATGTTAGAATTGACCCAGGTGAGCATTATGGCCCTAGGGCCTCCCCTCTTAAATTGACCTTAGCTCTGTGTTACATGTTGATTTCAGGATTGATAAGTATAACATAACCCTGAGTCCTTTCCAGTCAAATTGACTTAAAGACATGTATCAATGTTGATTGATTTTCTTCAGCATCTACAGAGAGCTCAGATGGAGTCGGCAAATATGCTTTTCCAGCCAGCGGGACAGAGACCGCCCTCCTCAGCTCAGGTGACCCAGAGGGATTCCAGACCCGGGACAGCTGAAAATGGGGACATCCAGCTGGACTTCCAGTTAGATTCACACACTCCAGCAAGTTCCAGGTAGAAATCTGGATGTTTAATGAAAAATTACTCATTATTTAATTTGATAAATATCTGATTCTATTCTTGTGTGGTATAGTATTTCAGTGATATGATTGTAGCGCAAATCAGAAGAATTAAATAAACGAAAGTTGAAATGTTTTTCAAATTATCAAATGTCTATAACTTGCCGAAGTAGCTGAATTTTCTCTTGTGTATCTGAGGACATCATCTGAAAAAAAAACACGCTTAATATGAATGTTGAAAATTATGTTTACAGAATGAGTGATAAACCTCCAATAATAAACAGTGCACTGGACCGGTGTCCCTCTGTCGCCAGTACAGTAGACACAGCACGTGCACCGTCCAGAAAGACAGACAACCAAACAGCAGAGGTGACCAGGAGTGCCCCGAGGAAAGGAGCCGTACGGACACCCTCATTTCACATGTAAGCCATCAGCAAATAACTTAAACCAGCCATTCTGATGACATGGGTATCATTATTATGTCTTGTAGATATATTCCTTGTGCTTGGTTTTCAAGGTTCTACTACAAATAGAGTAAAATGTTTAGGTTTAGTAGATTCATATGCAGTTTTGATCTTTTTAGTTAATTGTGTTCAATGACCAAGCATTATTGAAAAATTCCTGTGTAAATTATCATGAACTTACTTTATGATTTACATGTGTTTTTGCTTTTGTCACATGTAGAGGAATTTTAAATCAGACAAAAAATATCATCTCTTTAATAAGCATGTAACCTTTGGTTGGCAGATTTGATCAGTACCTTAATTTTCACTGTCTAGGAGTAATACTGACAAACAAGCCATGGCTGAACTCCAGGCCCAGTGTCAGGAATACAAGACTGTGTATCAGGTGGCTCAGGTGGAAAGAGACAAACTGTCTGAACTAGTCCAAGTTTTAGAAAAGAGGTATGTTATCGTTATTAAAAGTAAGTTACATTTCTTCATCACAGATACCTGAACTTTTAAAGAAATGCAAATCACATACTGTATACAGGGAAATTTTCGCCCCCGTTTTATTTTCGCCCCTTTCGCCCTTTTTCCTGATTGGGCGAATTTAAAACGGTGCGAATTCAAATTTAAACACAGCATAATTTCTTAAACAAAACTATGACTGGGCGAATTTAAAACGGGGCAAAAGTGTTCGCAAGTGCAAAAGGGCGAAAATAACACTGGGCGAAAATAACCCTGTATACAGTATATGTATTTCAAAAGAATAAAGAGAAACATTAAATTTTTCATTATTATTAAAGGAATGAGGAGGCTTCCCAAAAATATTTAGAGTGTCAAAATGAACTTGTCCAACAAAGACGCAAGAATGCTCTGCTTGAAAAACAGGTCGGCAAAAGTAAAATAGACCCAACCGGAGCAAAGGGGGGTAGTGGTGAGTAGTAGACATAATAAAATGAATATAGCATTTTTACTCTCATTATATCCTTGCACATGTAAAATGACTTTCAAATACTTAAAATTAGAGAGTTTGCAAAGACTTCAAAATTCCCCCAAATGCAGTTATGATTACTTAAAGCATTTTTTATAAAAAAAAAGATTAATTTAATCTAAATACAAGATGATTTTTGTTAGCTGCAGTTGGGAAGAAGAAGGTGCTTGGAAACAGGGCCAGCAGTATGACAAACGTGTCAGTGTCGGCCAGTTTTTCTGCAGGTCTGACAAACGAAGAGAATGAATTTGAAGATTATGAGGAAATAAAAACAAAGTAATTATTTTTATTTCATTGTTTTCAATTTAAACTCAGGGCTCGACATTAACGCTTGTCCGCTTGTCCGGTACCAATGAAAAAAAATTTCGGACAAGTGAATATTGCTGGGTACTTGTCCGATTGGACAAGTGATTTTTCTATGTAAAGAAGTCTTCAAATAATAATAATCATAGAAAACAACTATTGTAAAGTTTATCGAATAAAAACGGAAGCAGTACATAAACCTGAATTTCGATCCCGATATCAATCACTATGTACTAAGTTCACACTTGATCGGGATCGATGTTCACTAATTGCAGCTATACTATTGTATGGCGTGGATCTTATGACGTTTGTGAGTTTAGAATATATTTGATTGATATTACAGATTCACTTGCGAACATTTATGCTGTTGTCAGGACAGGAAGTCTAGATAAAATTTTGTTTTATATGTGTTTGTCTTATTTATCAATAACAACACTTATAAATCAAGCACATTTAATTTTTTAATTGTTTTCAAGTTGACATAACAAGACATTCATTGAAAATTTTTCGGACAAGTGAAGCTGAAGTTCGGACAAGTAAATATCTTGGTCACTTGTCCGAATGGACAAGTAGGAAAAAAAGTTAATGTCGAGCCCTGAAACTGCAAGAATATTTATTAAACTTGTATTGCTGTATGTTTATTTGAGTTTTATTTCAAGATTTATTATTTGACCCTCTGATAAGGGAGATAATTTTTATCTCTAGGATAAGTAACTTATTATTTGAATACTGAGTATTTCTTTATATTAAATTTTTGCAAAATTTTGTCTCAAAATATTTTCTGATGTTATCCATGTATATCTCTTCAGTATGCATTAAAACATTTTTTATTCAACATATGTGTAAAAGCAAAAATTTTTAAAAGAATGTTCAAGACTTGATGAACCTTAAAAAAATTCTCGAGGGTCCCATATGTCTTTTCTTTTTCCTTTCTAGTCTGGAGATTCAAAGAGATGAAAATGAGGCTCTGAAAGCAGCCTTACAAAGCACACTTAAGGCAAAGGAAGAGGACCTCCGAATGTTTGGAGAAATGATGGAAGAAACTAAACAAGTGTTTCTACAGGCACTCAGACAGTACAAACAAAATGCACAAGGAACATAATATACTTATTATAATTTGGAATTTTATTTATTTATTGACATTATTTTAAGACTGTTTTAACATTGTGCTCAAGTTGTAGTAAACAAAGTAATGTAAATTTGTTACATTTAATTTGGTAATGTTTATTACATGTAAACAACAGGTGTCCTAAATTGCTCACATGTATCATGGTTCTTCATTGTCTGAGAAATAATTTTGTAACATGTCAGATGCAATCAATTTAGGATTAAAATTCCATTTTTTATTGTCGTTTTGCACAAGCTTTATTTGTTGACTTTTTATCTCACCTTGACTTTGTTTTGATGATGAGCTTATGCTATTATGTCCCTGACACTCCCTGTTCTGATGCTAAACTGCTTTAGCATCTGCATCCTGATTATAGTTTTTAGCAAGTCATTCCAAAGGAACTATACAACCCCTACTTGGGCCATCTGTAGGGATGTTTTTTCTAAGAAAGGACACTTTTTTCCTGTAATATTTCAAACAATTGTACATCTTCTGATGATCTTCTGCCATATGTCCTATGTTGTCTTTGAAAGCATTTCCTTCCTTCCAGAACCTCTGATTTTTTTTTTATGGAAAATGGAATTTAAGTTTGATTAATCAGAAGGGAGAAAAATGTTATTTGATGGACCATTTTTAAACCAGCCCCCTGTATTTAATTTTAATAGTGTATTATTATGCAGATGGTCTACTTACTATAAGATGTCTAGTCACTGCATGATAATTGAACCTGTCTCATCGTCACATTCTGTTAACTTTTTGCAATTTTGTGAAAAAAGCGTCTTTAAAAGAATAAATACACTTTATTTTACTACAATACACGAAGTATTAGAAACCCCAGTCACCTTCCTTAATTATTAATTATAAATAAAGTGGATGTGTTTTAATTTCTTTTAGTACCTTTTTTTTTTAACTCGAACACTGCATTACATTTATATTACCCTTATTTGACAATACTGCAACCAAAAAAAGGGGGGAGTAACTGTACTTTCAATAAACATTTTCTTAAGAAAAACTAATATCTATTGGTGGTGGTGGTATAGTGGTGATGGGGGGGGGGGGGGGGGGGCTTGATGCTACATGCCCGGTATAAACCTGCTTGTTTGTAAGCAGAGGTCTAACCATAGCGACAGCTCCATGAACAGCTGCAGACAGAACCAGGTGGAAATCCCTTGTAGCCGCCTCAAGCACCTGACGGCACAGAGAGGATTGAGTGAGTGAGTTGCAAGTGATCCCTTGGGTATAGCTTAGGAATTTTCATAATAGTGAAAAAATAAAATTGTGTATATTCAGACACTTTTTATACTTTGGGTTAGGTTGTAATAGGATCGTTATTTTTCAACGGAACAGAAACAGCAGGGCTAACTTTCTCAGGCGAGCGTTATGTCCATGGGCCTCTTGTTGTATACACACGAGTTATCTTTCGTTGTGCATCTGGGAACGATGGACTTGACAAGAGAGGCAAAGGCAGATGATCGTATTATTTAACAAATTTTAAATATTTGTCAATTGTAAGTATTAGACCCTATTTTTCATAAGACTGATATTGCCAGAGTCAAAAGATAAACATATTAAAGTTTTTGAATAATTAAGCAGTCCAAACGAAATATCGGCTGATAAATTAGTTTTACTTTCACTTTTGAAGTACAATCTTGAATTTCAAGTTGAAAGCAGTCCTTGGAATTATACGACTGATTTCTGTCAGTTTGGGTCTGGTTCAGGTACTGTATATTCAAGACAAGAATGGTTCACTTGGTAACCAGATGGTAACCATGGTTTCTGTGATAAATTAAAATATAAGTTGTTTAAATAAGGGGGGGGGGGGGAATTCAGAGTAAATTATATATTCACTTATAAAAAGATTCAATATTGAAAATAAATAAAATAATGAAAAGTTTAGCATTAGCTGGGAAAGCAGAAAGAAATTAAAGTTTTCTTTTTCTACAGACCTAATGTTTGTTGACTGTAAGATAAATTATTATGTTAGTTGCGTTGATGTCTTAGCTCATAAGTTATAATATCCTGGTTAATTAAGGCTAGGTCTGTCACTCTACAGTGTATACAGTCCCATATACATTTACTTCAGGAGAGAAGTTCAGGCTGAAGCAGAAATGAGAATTTTCAACAATAATCAGTTTATATTGAAATCATTGAATACATAATTACCTGAGGGATATAAACACTATAGATACTAATGAATTTATGTATCTTGTAATACGTGTGTAATATGTTTTTATGCCACGTATTCAAAGACCTCGTAATCGAAGATTCGGGGGTATATAGTTTTTGTTGTGTCCGTCCGTCTGTCTGTGTTTGTCCGCAAAAACTTTAATCTTTCCCATTACTTTTGATTTTGTGGAGCAATGACTTTCATATTTTACATGTGTATTCTTTGTGATAAGACCTTTCTTTTTGTACCACCAAATTTGACCTTTTGACCTTGACCTTGAAGTTTGACCCATTTTATACAAAAAAATCCAAACTTTTACTTTGGCCATAACCTTTGAATGGTAGATACTAGGACTTTCATACTGCACATGTTTTCCTTGTGGCAAGATCTATTATTGGATACGTACAACTTTGACCTTTTGACCTTATGACTTTGGAGATTTCCGTACTTGCAGAAAAACTTTAACCTTGGCCATAACATTTGAACGGTTGGAGCTAGGGATCTCAAACTTCATGTATGCAATCCTTGTGAGAAGACCCTTCATTGGAGACCGAGAACTTTGACCCTTTGACCTTAGAGTTTGACCTACTTCAAAAAAAAACCTTGACCATAATTTTTGAAGGGCTAGGGCTTTCATACTTTACATATTTAATTCTTGTGACAAGACCTTTCATTTGATATCAAGAACTTTGACTTAGGAATCTGATCCATTTTTACACAAAATGGTAGATACTAGGAATTTCATTTATCAGTTCTTTATGGTAAGACCTTTCATGAATTGGATACCAACAACTTTGACCTTGGAGATTTCCATACTTATATGGAAAAACTTTAACCTTAGCCGTAACTTTTGAACAGTAAGAGCTAGTGATTTCATACTTCACATATGTAATCCTTGTGAGAAGACCCTTCATTGGATACCAAGAACTTTGACCTTGACTTTGGAGTTTGACCTACCTTTAAATAACAAACCTTGACCAAACTTTTGAAGGGATAGGGCTAGGGCTTTCATACTTCACATATTTTATTCCTTGTGACAAATACTTCTATTTGATATCAAGAACCTTGATATCCTTTTACCTTGACCTTGAACTTCAACCTACTTTTAAAAACTTTAACCTTGCATGGCCATAACTTTTGAACGATAAGGGCCATGGCTTTCATATTTATTTAGATATGCAATCCTTGGGACAAGACCTTTCTTTAAAAACCAACAACTTTGACCCTTTGACATTGACCCTGGAGTTTGATGTACCTTTCAAAAACTTATCCTTGGCCATAACTTTTGAACAGGTAGTGCTAGGGCTTTCATATTTCACAAATGTATTTCTTGTGACAAGACCTTACTTTTGGCACCAACATAATTTAATTTGCATTTAAGAAAAGTTTAATCTCCATTATGTTGTCATAAAGGGGCATCAGTGTTTCACAAACACATCTTGTTTCTTTTTAGTATTTACCAGTGTAGAGTTGTCACTCTATTCCTAGTTAACCTGATACCTCTTGGAAGGTCTTATTACCAAATACCATTGAAATAAAATATAAAATTTGGACAAAAAAATGCAATGTAGGGAAAAAATACAGCATATGTAGAAATCTGCTATAATTCTACAATTTGACTAAAACAAGTACAGCAAAACTCGTTTAGTATGAACATGGATATTGCGAATTTATGGATATATAGCGAAGTCATCTTGGATCCCCAATTATATAATTTAATGACTTTCTTATATCGTTATAACGAATTACGGATATAGCAAGTAATTTCTCAGGTCCCAGTGACTTTGTTACATGTATATTTGAGTTTTACTGTAAAAGCTGTTTATTAATTTCCATTTCATGGATAAAAAATTAATAATTTTTACAATTTTAAGTATAGAGTTAGGAAAGGGTCAGCATTGTAACGGAATTATTGGATACAGTGTAAATTTGGGAAGATAAATTGATCACACTGCATCAAAAAATTGGAGGACCAACTGGTGCTTTTCAAGGCAATGAAAATTATCCTATTTTCGTAGGGAAAAAGTCAGAGGGAGGGATCATGAGATTTTAAAATGATTTTCCCCAAAATTAAGGACTTTGATTAATTCTTAAAAATTATATTATGAAACTAAAACTGTCAATAAATATTCCCTTTGAATGAAGTTGGGATGCACTTATATTCTCCAAATTTACAAATGAGTATAGTTCAGACAAAAATATTTTTATTGTATCAGGTAAAATAAAACTTATTTCAAAATTTGAGTGACACCATAAGTTCTATTAAATATCCACTCAGATGTTATGCAAAATTATTTAGATAACAGTAGAAATTAAGTTGAAATTTGAGAAAGAGTATGTATATATAATTTCAAGTTTATATGTATAATTTGTATACACAAGCAGCCGAGGTAAAGTTGATACATACAATGTTTGAGTTAACAATGTTTATTTAGCAGTTTAAATTAAGGTGTGACAGGGTAACTGGGACGTGACGTTTTCCACTGGCCATTAATTCTTAATACATTAATCTCTACTGTATTTACAAATACACACTATGTTGCTGAAATGGGCATACTCTAAAACCTGGCCTGGCCCCTTTGGCCTGGCCTGGCCTCTAAGTTGGCCTGGCCTCTATTTTGGCCTCTAATTTGGCTTCAAACCAAATTTTGGCCTGGCCTCAAAAGTTGGCCTGGCCTCAGATTTGGCCTCTGTAAAAATTTTTGGCCTCAGTTTTGGCCTCACTCAAAAATAATTTCTTTTTCAGAATTTGATTGATTTTATTGATTTTTTATTGGTTTCATTTTTTCAAAGATTAAGAAGGTAAATAATATATTTCTGTTGATATGTAGATGTGAATATTAAAATAATAATACTCTACCACCAATATGATTTATTTTATTGATTTTCTATTGATCAGTTGCAATTCTGGATTTCCATAGTAGGATTGAGGATTTTACAAAGTAAAACATTTTGAAACATCAATTTAAATTATTTCTTTTTCAGAATTCAATTGATTTTATTGATTTTTTAAAATTAGTTTCAGTTTTTAAAAATCAAAGCAGATAAATAACATATTTCTGTTGATATGTAAATGTTAACATTAAAAATAATTATGTACTACCACCAATATGATTTATTTTATTGATTATCAATTAATCAGTGTACACTTATTTCATTTTATGATTTGATGACAGGTATCTTATACCGACACTACCGACACTCTTGCTTAATTATTTAGAAAAAAAGTATCAGTCTGAGAGTTTATTTTGTGTTTTCCAAATTGTGCATATTGAAAAATCTCTAAGTCATATCAAATGTCATTAATAGCTTTGAAAAATTCCCACTTGTTAAGTGATGAATCATCACTTTTCACACACTGTAGAGTGTTGTGTTGTGTGTGTCTTAAATGTGATATATGAATACAGTCACCAAAGAATTTTTAAATAAATAAACTACCATATACAAATGCAGATACCAAAATATTTATATAATACTAATTTGATTACTCTGTTAAAAATTCATATATGTACTTTAATCTCAGAACAGTTGGTATTTTAAATAATATAAATAACATTATCAGATAATTTATAGCTTTCTGTTCCTGTGCGGTAACACTGTAATTGGATATCTAATGATAAAAAATTCTGCAGCATGGTTCTTGACAGGGAGTTAAGGTTGAAGTTAATCAGTAATGAAATGTTTATGTGCATAGGCTGTTAAGCCACCAATGATTTGTAAAGAATTTCCTACTACAAGTTTCACTAATTATCAAAACAAAAGTTGAGTTTGATGATAGTTTATTAACATTTGTGCTGTAAAACATTTGCATCCTATCAACCAGACCATTAGAACCCTTTCATATAAAATGGCCAATTACTTGCATATCATAGTATTGACACTTTTTCTATCAGTTTGTAAAAGTCCACGTTATCAGAAAGATTTTTTTTTTATTCTGGATAAAGAGTTTATAAAACATGTAACAAGTGATACTTGAAATAGCAAATTTAAAATTCTTTTTAAGTTTTAGGTAATTACTACCCATCTGCATTTCTTTGTTTTCTTGATAATTTAAATTGGTGTTTCTAAATGCTTTACTTTGTAAAATCCTCAATCCTACTATGGAAAGTCTCCAGAATTGCAACTGATCAATAGAAAATCAATAAAATAAATCATATTGGTGGTAGTGTATTATTATTGTAATATTCACATCTACATATCAACAGAAATATATTATTTACCTGCTTAATCTTTGAAAAAATGAAACCAATAAAAAATCAATAAAATCAATCAAATTCTGAAAAAGAAATTATTTTTGAGTGAGGCCAAAATTGAGGCCAAAAATTTTTACAGAGGCCAAATCTGAGGCCAGGCCAACTTTTGAGGCCAGGCCAAAATTTGGTTTGAAGCCAAATTAGAGGCCAAAATAGAGGCCAGGCCAACTTAGAGGCCAGGCCAGGCCAAAGGGGCCAGGCCAGGTTTTAGAGTATGCCGCTGAAATGCTGATGTGAAGTGGAGAGAAATATTGACATTTTCTTTGCTCTGCTGTGACAGGTGAGTTTTCCATTTATAAATTGTTTATTCTGCAGCAAATGTTGTGTCTGATTAAAGCATGAACTTCAAGTACATTGTATATATTTAAGTTAAGGTAGCATTACTGCATAACATTGATTTTCAAGCACCCTCTTTAAACTAACATTTAAACAGAGAGAGTTTATGTAGTGGCATATCTAGACACTCATTGAATATACATGTAGGCAGATGTTATATGGGTTCATGCATTAATTTTAAAAGTACACAGGATCTTGCTTGTAATTATAGGACTTAATATTACATGAAGGTAAAAAGATCAATACAAGTGGTTATATGCATCTATCGGATAATAAGTGTTCCAGGAAGTAGCTTTTAATGGTAATGATACATCAGAAAATAGGCTGACTGTGCACCCCTATTTTTTTGTAGTTTACCCGTACATTTGTTAATTGTAGGAAATTAAAGATTTTTTTTAAATTTTATCATGAAAATTCAGCAGACCTGCCAGTGGCTAATTACCTGGAATGATGCTCGGAATGTTGACCTATGTCACTGTGGATGGTAGCTGACCTTATTTGACCTCAGTACCGATTATGGAGCTGGTATTTAAGAATATAAATGTGGAGGTGGACAAAAGACTGATTCTAAACAATGTCAGCGGGTTGGCCAGTCCAGGAGAGTTGCTGGCCATTATGGGGCCTAGTGGTAAGAAATTAATCATATTAAATCATTTGTTTCTTCTTAATCACATGCAATTTTAATGTAACTTCAAAGGTATAAACTCTACTGTCTACTTAACTTTGCCCTGCTTAATTAAACAAGATATTGTTTTAATGCAACCTAGGATTTTCATTAAGTGTATAGATTTATGTTTCAACATTGTTCAAATGATGGAGAGTAAGACAGATGATCTTTGGGAAAGACATATGGGTTTACAAAGAGCATCCACTATCAAAATTATAATTAGGGTGAAAACCGTGAAATCTGGACAAAAAAGCTTTAATAAAAATTCCATTCATAGATTGAACATTTCAGATTAGCCAACAATTATTTATTTGATGGAATTAACTGAAGGGACCTTTAAGTTAGAATTTACATCCTTATGGACAAGATATTGGATTACAGTACACCCTGATTAGACCATTGTCTTACTGTATAAAGAAAGAAGAACCATCTGAAACACTTCTTTCTGTAAAAATTAGGGTTTTATTCTGAACTGCTCAAAGTCTAGATTCTTTAAGAAGCAAGTGTAGTTTATTGATTTTGAAATTTCGTTTCAGGTGCAGGAAAGTCCACCTTGTTAAACACATTAGCCGGCCACACCCCTCTGTCCTCAGGAACCATAACTGTGAATGGACACCCCATTTCCAAGGACCTGAGGAGAAAAATCTGTTACGTCTTGCAGCAGGATATTTTCTTCCCAAGCCTCACACTCCGCGAGACACTGCAGGTAAATTATAAAGGTTTTATTAATGTACAACCATCCTCTTAAAAATAAAATGTTCCATCTAAGTTTAGGAACCTCAAACATTTTTGTTGAGTTTATTGAAATTTGAAAAAGAATGGGGAACAAAGGTATTCAACTGTGTTTGTGCAAGTCAAGACAGGAGCATATAGCTTTGTTGTAGTCAGGTCTCACTTAAAATACAAGTGATTAATTGAGTAATTCATATTTTGCAGTTTACAGCCAAAATAAGACTACCAGATAAAATGTCCCATGAGCAGATCACATCCAAAGTGGATGAAATTATCAAGGATTTAGATTTATCCAGATGTGTAGATACAAGTAAGTGCTGTATTTAACACTAAAAATTGGTTGATTAAACTACATATTTGATTGATTATTTAAAGAACAAACAATGCCGAGTCTGTTAAACGTAAACAATTCTTGATAGAAAAGTAAAATATTTTATATATTAATCAATTTATAATTATCTTGAATTTTGAAATGGTCCGTAATTAAGCCTCTTAGTCTTTGAAATTATTGTTGCTAACCAAGGCCAAAATGTCCAATATCATCTCCCATTCTTGGTGAGAGCTATCAGTGGACTATGGACCTTGACCTGAGACTGCCGTAAAATCTGATGATAATTATTGCCCCAGTATCTGTATGTTTGATATATGATGTGTATCCTCATTTTTCCTGGCAGTTATGGGTGATGTGTGGGTGAGGGGATTGTCTGGGGGAGAGAAGAAGAGAGCCAGCATTGCCTGTGAGCTTGTCACTGACCCAGTCATGATTCTTTTGGATGTAAGTACAGGACTGAAGCATCAATTACATTATGAGAAACATCTATATCACAAACTAAAATTAGTTTCCAGTTTGGAAATGTGTTTTGCATATTTATCACTTACTTGGGTAAAAGTCATTGCAAGGTTGATATCTCGGTTGAAGATGACTCAGGTTAGCCTGATGGCCATGAGCCTCTTGTATTTGTTTTTCATTGACAGGAGCCTACATCAGGTTAGCCTGATGGCCATGAGCCTCTTGTATTTGTTTTTCATTGACAGGAGCCTACATCAGGTCTGGACTACAGCACGGCCTTCAGTCTGATTGAAATGCTACAGTCCTACGCCAGAGACCACAAGAAAACAGTCATCACAACCATTCATCAACCCTCCAGCTACATCTTCTACCAGTTCCACAAACTACTGCTTATCTCTGGTGGAGAGGTAATATGCCTCCCCTTCCAAAAAATACATGGGATATTTTATTCCTTCCAGCATGTTTGTACACCTTTATTAGGCCCCAAATAAAATGAATAAACAGGAGACATTCAGGGATCACATTACTAGTAATTATTATTCATGACACTATTGTTGTAACACATTTACTCAAAAAGTTTTCAAAGCAATTTTTAAAGATTTAGTAAAGAATTAAATTAAAGCACCTGTAATTTGTCTGTATGTCTGTACTTCTGTTGTGAAGCATTAATTCACTTAAGCCTCTCTCTGACTGTGTCATTTTTTTTTTTTTTTTTTTTTAATAAAATTAGTTTCATTAAAAGCGAAAACATCATTTATATTGCCTGGTAACATTGGGCTGTGTGCTTTAGATGCATGTAGATGATCCATTGCTTCAGTTTAATTATACATGTATTTCCTGACATGCTTGTTTTGAGACTAACTCATTCACTTTTATGTTGTAGATTTTGACATGTGTATTGACTGTGCATGTGATTTTTACAGCACCTAACATGTTTGGTTTTCATCATGGTAACTCTCTAACCTTCATTCTACTAACTTGAAAATGACTTGTTAATTTTTCTACTAACTTGAAAATGACTTATTTTTTCTACTAAAGTGAAAATAACTTATTTTTTCTAATAACTTGAAAATGCCTTGTTTATGTTTTCTTTGCTCATTTTCCTTGTCATTAAAGCTTTAAAGATTATATGTATAACCAACCATTGGTAGTCTTGTCTTTTATGCTTGTTTTAACAATTTTAAATTTCATTTACTGTCATTCCATCAATTAATTTACTGATTAAGAAGTCACCAAGGGTTGAAGAATAATATGTATGAAAACTATGATATTTATGTGAATATCAAATACATAATGGGAAAAGCAATATTACCTTGTTTAGAAATTTTGCACAGTAATTCTTTTCCTATACATGTATATGCATCTTTCACCTACTCATAGAAATAAAATTGTCTTTGAGTGGCATGATTTTGTATATTTTCATTATTTCCGTAATTTCAGTTGGCTTACTATGGGGATACAGAGAAAGTGGTCGATTTTTTCCACGAAGCTGACATTCCTGTGGCACCACACTATAACCCAGCAGATTTGATATGTAACTCTCCTACTCAGATTTTTTAAAAATGACAGTGTTCCTTTTGAAAAATTTTATAATTATACATATAAATATTTACATTTGCTGTGTTTTAAAAAAAAGATCATGAAATTGATTTGATCAATGCTATTATTGTGTATAGTTATGTGTAGAAATATGCATAGAGAAATTTACACGTATGTTAATGTCACATCAAAATGATGTGATGGAAAGGTAAAAGAATATAAAATAAATGTTAGACAGCAAAAATTCAATAATTGGGGTATTTTTGTTAGTTTAATAGAGCTATAAAATATTTTTAAAAAATGAACTGTTTTTCACATAGTTATAGTTATAGGATTAAGTGTATAAATCAAGCAGATTGGTCATATAGGCATATTTTTTTTCATGAACTTGAAGTGCTTGATTTGTGAGTTTTTGTTTTTATATACTTTATGATGGTTTTATTCTTGTGCATTTTTAGTGGAAAAACTTACAGAAGATGATAAAACAAGATTAAAAATCATAAGTGCCATGGACCAAATAAGGTAGGCAGAAATATTTATTGTGTCATAGTATTCTATGTCTTAAAGATATAGAACAGATCTCCAATGCAGTGTGAGAATACAGCAGTAGAATTATTTTGTTGAATTTAATGAATTGCATTTCCAAGAAGTACTGTTTACTCATAGAAGATTTTCATTTAAACACTTGCCCCAAAAATTACAAAACATGCATTTTCGGCAAACCCTGTTGAGCAAAAACTGACAGAAGTGACCTTTCATAATTTTAAAACAAGATTAGTTGATATATATGTATACTTGTAAGAGTAATCCCTCTTTACAGAAGGTCTATGAACCTTAATATTAAAGGTACTCGGATTTGAAGTTAATTTTTTCTCTATAGTATTACGACTTATATATTTTAATAGCATTTCACACAAAAATTAATTAAAAATCTTATTTCATTTAAAAGTTATCAAAATTTTAATTTTTTTTTGGCGGGTTTGATTGACACATCCTTGCACTTTCACAAATTTTAACTTTATTCCTAATCCTTAGGAAAAGTGGCAATCTTGTTGTGTATTAATGAAAAATATTAATACTATAATCCAGAAAATTCAGAGTAGACATGTTAGAAAGCAAAACAAACACACAATATATTGACAGTCCAGGAGTTGCAGTTGTGGTGAGCAGACTTTAACATTTGAATGTACCCGGTGAATCGTAAACATTAAACAATAACAGGGCTGTGTCCTGTTTACAAAAACTGTGTACATAACACGAGTGTGCTCGATTTGCTAAACTCTGTACGCAACGGAATGACGACACTTGTGAAGGAGTTTTGCTTTCTAACATTTCTACTCTGAATATAATAATTTTTCTGCATTGAAGTTTTAATATTTCTCATTAATACACAACAAGTTTGCCACTTTTCCTAAGGATTAAGAATAAAGTAAAAATTTGCGAAAGTGCAAGGATGTGTCAATCAAACCCGCCAAAAAATTTAAATTTTAATAACTTTTAAATGAAATAAGATTTTTAATTAATCTTTGTGTGAAATGCTATCAAAATATATAATTCATGATATTATGCAGAAAATATTAACTTCAAATCTTTATGTGAAATTGTTTTCTAAAACTTTTTCTTTTTTCCTCAAGAAAATGTGTTGTATACTTGCAGGAACAGTTCTGATTGGCCAGTTAAATTAAGGAGCAGTGGACATATTATAGATGAAAACATAGAATCAAGACCTACATACTCTGAGGACATTGTGGAACCACCTTTCAATGGTAGCAATTATGCATTTTCAGCTCACTTGAGCCGAAGGCTCAAGTGAGCTTTTCTGATCAAAATTTGTCCGTTGTCTGTTGTTGTCGTAGTCGTAAATTTTTCACATTCTCATCTTCTTCTCAAGAACCACTTAGCCAATTTCAACCAAACTTGCCACAAAGTATCCTTTGTGGCAGGAGATTCAAGTTTGTTCAAATGAAGAGGCCACGCCCTTTTCCAAGGGGAGATAATTATAAAATAGTGAAAAATTAATGGCATTTTTAAAAAATCTTCTTCTCAAGAACCACTGGGCCAAGAAAAATGAAACT